CTAGTGATGCAGAGAATGCTGCTACACTGGCTGTCTTCATCTGCATTTGTTCGTGTGTATGCGATAAGAGGGTTAGGTCATCTACGAAGTCCAAATCGTCTAACTGATTGTGAGCTGTCCATTGTATTCCGTGTTTTCCTTCAGATGTCAAGGTGTTCATAATCCAGTCGACCATCAGAAGAAAGAGGAAGAGAGAGTAGACAGCCTTGTTTGACTCCGGTCCTTACTTGGAATGCGTCTGTCAGCTGTCTTCCATGCACGACCTGGCACTTGAGTCAGTCGTATGAGATCCGGATAATATTGACAATCTTCTCGAGAACTCCGTAGTGTCGAAGAAGTTTCCATAATGTACTCCTGTCTTCACTGTCAAATGCCTTTTCATAATCGATGAAGTTGATGAACAGTGACGATTTCCACTCAATTGATTGTTCAACGATGATCCGTAGTGTCGCAATTTGGTCCATGCACGACCGATCCTTACGGAATCCAGCTTGTTGATCTCGAAGTTGGAAGTCTACTGCATATTCTATCCGGTTAAGCATCACTCTGTTAAAAACTTTCTCTGGTATTGACAGCAGTGTGATGCCTCTGTAGTTTTCACATTTGCTCAGATCTCCTTTCTTTGAAATCTTGATGAGGTGCCCTTCATTCCAGTTCATCGGCAATTGTTCCTCCTCCCCAATCTTTTTAAATAGAAGGTGAGGCAGGTTTGCAGTTACTTCGATGTCTGACAACAGTGCTTCAGCTGGTATGTTGTCGAGTCCTGCTGCTTTCACGCTCTTGATTTGTCTGATGGCCATTCTGATTTCTTCCGTCATTGGTGGATTGACATGTATAGGAAGATCTGTGTATGCTGCCTCGATGTCCGGTGGATTCATTGGAGCCGATTTTTTCAGGAGTTCCTTGAAGTACTCTACCCATCTGTTCCGCTGTTATTGTATTTCAGTGACTGGCTTGCCTTCTTTGTCATTGACCGTTCTCTCTGGTTTACTGTATTTCCCTGCTAGTTTCTTCGTTGTACCATTGAGCTGTTTCATATTTCCTTCCCTTTCAGCTTTTTCCACCATCGTTGCTAGTTCTTTCACGTATTTCTTCTTGTCGGCTCTAATGCTCTTCTTCACTTGCTTGTTTGCTTCTATGTATTCAGCTTGTGCTTGGACTTTCTCTGCTCGTGTTCGGCTGTTGTTAGTTGCTGTCTTCTTCTTCTTCCTTTGTTTGGTCTTGTCCAGGGTTTCTATAGAGGTCCATTCCTTATGATGATGCTTCTTGTGGCCCAGAACCTCTTGACACGTTGAAGTAAATGCTTCTTTGATACATTTCCAGTTGTCCTCCATAGTAGTTTCTTCTTCTTCCTGGTTCTCACATCTCCCTTTGTCCTCCAGAATTTTTTCGGTGCAAATCTGATTTATCTGGTTCCCTGTAGTGTGGTCCGGTGAGATCCATGTAGATTTATTTATACGTCTGTGTGGAAATATTGTGCCTCCTATGACCAGTTTGTTGAATGCACACGGATTTGCAAATCTTTCTCCATTTTCGTTTCTCTATCCCAGTCCATGTCGTCCCATGATATCTTCATATCTGGTGTTGTCTGTTACGACTTTGGCATTGAGATCTCCCATCAGAATGGTGAGGTCCTTTCTTGGGCACTTCTCTATGATTGATTGCAGCCTCTCACAGAATTGATCTTTAATGTTGTCGTTGGTATCATTGGTGGGTGCATAATATTGGATAATATTCATTGTGATCCCCTCCTTCTTTATTTTGAATGATGCTTTGATGATTCTGGATCTGGGAGATTCCCATCCTACAAGTGCGTTTCGTGATACTTAGGACAGCATCAGAGCAACTTCCTGAGTGTGTGGAGCACTTTACTCTTGGTGACCGGAGTATAGCAGCATCTCTCCCGTATTTAGCCCTTGTTGTCCAGTTTGGATCCAACGGGTTCCGCTGATTCCCAGTACTGCCAAGTTGTATCTCATTTCCGTTGCTATTCGACTGGTCTTCCCGGTCTCCCACATTGTTCGGACGTTATATGTACCTATAAAAATTGTTGCTCTGGTTGTTAGAAGGGGCATTGGCATCGTGGCTTCCAAAGGAACTCGGCTTTCACCATGAAGCGTCATAATTCTTCTAAATGAAGACCTTATAACTCCCAAGGCAGAGTTTAAATGGTTTGGATTATTTTTTCTGGTTAGCGCTTTTTAGCGAGTTAGTTTTCTACGGGATGGGGTCGCTAAACCTATTCCCAACCCTCCTCCTCTACCCGGGCTTGGGACCGGCAGTAACTCTGGAAGAGCTACAGGCGGAGTTCCAGTAAGACATCAGTCTACATCAAATAAAGGTTAAAAATGGGTATACAGTCCAATAAATCAAAATTGAGTGACTTCAAAGTTTGAAGAGATCCGGAATGTCACGAGAGGTGCAAAAGCAAAAACATAGGAATGTGACCCACTATGGACAGTGACAGAAGGAAAATTATGTATAACTGATCTCATCTCGATGCCAGTGTGATAAGTAGAAGTGTAGTGGCATTGAACAATAGCCACACAATCCACAAAGCTGTAAACACGAGACTAGTCAGAAAATAGATATTCAATATTTAACTCGAGGAAATACTTAACAATGGAGAAGGCGCGGAAAATGAATTGAATGGATTGGGGTTGATCGAGTGACATGGCTCGGCCATGCAGGCGTGGTCCATCTGAATGTTACCTTATATCTTCTATTCATATTAAATATATTGTTCTTTCTCTAGCCTAACCTTGTTCTACATCATGTATTGGTAATTGATACGATACAGTGAGTTGGTGTAGTCGATGGTGTGACTTCCACGTAAGATCTTTAGATTAGGCAGTTATATCATGACAAATCTACAAATTTAGGATTAGGTCTATTATTAGAGCAGTACTAATATCATAGTAGACCATAAATCTACAGAAGTATTAGAATATGTTATGTATATTGATTAGCTTATTTCAAGGATCTTCAGTAAGTGCTTTAGCGGTCATGAATGAAAGGGCTTCCAAATCCAAGAGAAGGTATTGAGAACACTTAAAGGAGTTGTATTTTGTGATTAGAATTAGTCATTCAATAATATGCATATAAACATCATAGTAACGTTTCGTTACGGCAACTGACTGAGTTTTCAAAAGTATAATCTTCTGGAATAGTGTTTCTAATATTTGTTTTGTGATTTTTAACTGTCCGACGACTTTACTCTTTGTTCCTCATCCTACTCAAAGCAACCAGTTGTTTAAATAATAGGTTTCTTACGTGTCACACGAAACCACTTTAAAGTACAAAGTGTAGACCAGCTTGTTATGGACTTGAAGGAAGTAATCGTCACTCCCATACACAGAACAGGAGTAAGAAAAATTCCATCGAACTATAGCCCTGTGAGCCTCACCAGTGTTGTAGTTAAAATATTGGAAAGAATAGTCAAACGAACCATAACCATATGGTTTTAAAAAGGGTTTATCGTGTACAATGATCCTCCTTATAGCGAGGGAACTTGGGATAAAGGCGGTAGACAACGGAAAATCAGTATATGTTGTCTACATGGGCTTCAGTAAGGCTCTTGACAAGGAACCGACCGATAGACTTCTATTGAAGTTAGAAAATCTTGGTATTGCCAGACCTCTACTAAAATGGCTTAAGGATTTCTTAGTAGGTCGTAGACAGAAAGTAAGAACAAACTCCAAGTGCTCCATCTGGAGACCAGTAATTAGTGGAGTACCTCAAGGTTCCGTCCTAGGTCCTTTACTTTTTATACTGTATGAAAATGATTTCCCAAGTGTAGTACAGTCCCCAATGATGTAAAGATCTGGCGAGTAATAACTGGAGATGCAGACGCATGCGCTCTTCAGGCAGACTTAAATAATATGATTAACTGGTCTAAAGTGTGGCTGATGCCTATCAACGCGGCAAGGTGTATCTACATGCACTTTGGGGATACAAAGGTTAATAGGTACAGCATAGGGGAAGTGCCGGTACCCGTTGCCAGGAGGTCGCAGCTAAGGGGTTTCGAACCCTCTGGGCTTTAAAACGGACATTCACTCAGTTAGATACTACCATGTTCACTACAGTATACAAAATCATAGTGAGAACCAAGCTTGAGAACTGCGTCCAGGCTGCAAGCCTCTGTTTAAAAGGTGAATCGGATATCCTAGAAAAAGAACAGAGGGCAGCTACCGTACAGTTCCAGAGATCCGGGGTTTACCATACAAAGAGCGGCTTGAGAAGCTGGAACTCTTTACTCTGTCCCATCGCAGACTAAGGGGAGATCTAATTTTGATGTACAGAATACTGAGATATAATTTTGGACCTAACTTATTCTCGCTTTTCCCTCCCACTAAATCGGGACATCTCAGAGGACATATATGACGAGTAGAAAAGCTAGGAAAGAAAGTAATACCCGTGGCATACATGTTTTCACACAGAGTCACCAATACTTGGAACCTGCTGGCCGAAGCAGTGGTGTCCGCAACTTCAATTGACTTGTAGTGTGGGGCCGAGTCGCGGTTGAATATGATCACCACTACAGGAAGACTACGTGCCAGTTAACCGATAAGATCCCCCGTAAGCCAAATATCAGAAGGCAGTTGTTGGCTGTGCTCGAGATGCAATCGTTGGCCATCTCGTGGTATTGAAAGAATACCGAGATCGTGCCAGATTACAATTGTGGTTACTGAGCGTAACCGAATTCGTGCAAGGTCACAACCAACGGAAGAATGTATGTGTTTTGGTACAGTCAAATAAACAAGTACGGTAAAACAGTCCGTGGTACAATTAGCTATAATAATAATTGTTTCCATTACACCAATCGCGTTCTCTTGATAAAAGGTCACTACAGACTCTTTCAAGAGAAGACTAGACACTCACAAAAGCATACTAGAAAAGGAATGACGTAGGCTGTAGGCCTCCTGTCCTTACTACATAAATCTGAAATCTGATAACATGATTTTGTTATAGTACTTCATGTTTATCTCGGTAATTAGCAAGTTATACTGCAGCGGGGTTTTAAACACGTGGTAGTGTAACATGTTTGAAAACTTACAATACCAACTTGTTCCGATAATCAGGTTATACTAACCTCGCTTTCGTGTTCCTTCTGATTACTGTCAGTTGCTTTTGGTCATATATGCAAATACACTCTATGTGCCAAATGAGTCATCGGCTCACTTATCCTTCTATTCCAGATATTCTCACTGCTACTAACGTTCATCTAACACACAAGGTACCTTCAGGCTAGAAGCAAACCTTCCAAAGGCTGAGCTTTACATTGTTGTGGTGCGTTAGTCGGTTTGTTTCTGGTTTCGATGTCACGGCTGTCTAAATCCAAAGCTTGTGTCAGTGCTATTTGTTGTGCATTCTTTCCTTAATAACTGTAAGTGTATTATGTATGCTTGCTCGGCCGTCGATCCACTTTTACTTCTTTTTTCCTCCCAGCTGTCGCCATGTTATTCTACATGCTCTCCGGTACACAAAGTATCTTCTAGCTAGGTGCGAATCGCTAAAAGTAGGGCTGATGTTAGCTTTGAGTCCTAATTCTTATGTCAACATTACTGGCTGTGATTATCGAACTTTCGTAATAGTGCGATTTTGTTTTCTTTAGTTTTCGGTAGTTTTGGTTATTAAATGTAAGTGGATTCTATGTTTACTGGGTCATCGACTCACTTTTTCTTTTGCTCTCTTTTCCAGCTTTCGTCACGCACTCCACTTTGCACGCTCCCCTAGCACTCCGAGCATCTTCAATTTTGACGCGAAACGCTAAATATTACGTCAACTTTAGAAATGACACTTCCTTATGGAATCCAATCTACCGCTTTGCTAAATACTTCATATATTGGAAACACATCGAAGCATGTGTCAGAAGAATTCTTGTTTTTAGAATCCAAGTGGGCTCAAGTATTTACGGGATTAGTTGCTTTTACTGCAATTGTCATTACCTGCCACCAAGTTAGTTTGTTTACGGATTTTCGCATGTGGGCGTGTAGATTAGTTTAGAAGTTCTTGAAATTTCTAATTGTGCATAGAGTCAAGTATTTTGGATATTCTTAAGGAATTCGTCTGCACTCATATAACCCAATGGAATCTTCTTTGCTTACGAACACCAACATCTAGTAAAGAAATATCACTTATTTGAAACATTCATTTGATCTCATAGAACAGTATGTTTAATTTATTATTAACAGCTCGTAGTTAAAAATATATACAGATTTATATTTATACAGATTTAGTTCAGTAATACAAAACTTTTAATATAGACGCTCGGAATAGCCCTTCAAAATCTAGCCGTTTTCAGTCTGTCAGTAGCCAAGTGATGAACATCCATACTTCATAACAAAACATGCTAAACTGGAAGGTTTTACGTTTATAAATCCCTTTAAGAGGTGACATGGTTCGTATACTTCCTCGTTAAAATGGTTATTCCATCTGTGCATAGTACCGTTTCTCCTATTTATTATTACTTTATTTGAACACAAACGTTAGTACAAGGGAGCACCGAATACATATGCGCCACACAATTACGATGACGCCAGTAGCAGTTATCATTGATTTGTGTGATGGCTGTGGTACTGCCCGAACGCCCAGACATAAGCAGGTGATTTTCTTAGGGGGCCACACCCGGAGCCTATGACCTAAAGGTTTGATCCACAAGGCAGTGGAGCAACGTCAGGAGATGCAGTCACATAGTAGCCGGTGACCAACAATTAGTTAATACACCATTTTTTCCTTCAGGATCCTGGAGCCCATGTGCACCATTGGTTTGAAATGAGGGTTTTCCAACTTCCCTAGGTAGACTCTCCATGTCCATCAACCCGGTAAGGCGCCGGACAATCTGTTTAATCTAAAGATGGTTTTTACTACAGACAGAAGTCATCTGAAAAACTAGTAAAAATCAACAAACACTACAGGGCTGTTTTGTCTCTAATCTCGAACCATCATCAGTGCGTTACTTGTTGCAGACCAAATTTTGTAGGAGCCACATTATGTGTATACTTCACACATGTAACACCAGTCATTTTGCGACGTCTGTAAAACTACCATCAATCAGCGCCCTCCACTAAAGTCTGATTTTCAACAATACTCCAACTGATACCAGTTCAATTTGGAAATATTGGATACACCAGTAATTTGCTGAAGGAAATGAATCGGTAAAAGTTGGCAGATTTATTTTCCAAATGGACCATATCATGATCTTCCAATTCTGAAATATAGCATTTGTATAGGTATATTCTCAGGCATCATTCAGTTGCACTCTTCAAATATATGTGTTTAGAAATGCTTTAACGTAAGAAAATTAGTCAGTGTGCATAAATTTCATATTCAAGTAATATGAAAATGCTGTGATTTTGATGAATAGTGCTGAGAAAGCAAGTCTGTATTAGCTTCTTATGTTCGAGTAGTCAGTCGTGTTAACGTGAACAATATCGTCAGTGAAAATTCACAAAAATAATAACTATCAGCTAAGATGACGTGCTGAGGGACTACTCATCTGAAATAACCACATTGTAAACCGAATAATGGTTATTATGTGTAAGTGGAGCAATGACATAATATATATTCCAAAGCTACCTAACCTATTACCGTTTGAGAATCCGAATAGTACAGTAGGTCTCACACGAAAAGTATAGTTTATAGTTGAGTACACAAATCTGTATTTAGTTACTGATCCCAACTAAATTTGTATAACAGTGGTTCGGTGTTTAGGACTCAACTTCCAACCACTGAGTTGTATACTCAAACCCCATCTCCGGTTTAGATAGCTGGGTAAAGTCGTCAGTTTACACGATGTAGCTTAGGAGCGACTGCATGATCCTATATTTAAATACCGAGTTATACTAAATGTTAAACCAGTCAGAAATAATATACTTTGCATATAATGAGCTGTTTTATTTACTAAACTAATTGAGAATATAGCTTTTTCTTGTACATGCATATTAGCTTTTTACCGTTATTATTAATTTCTAAACAGATTTATTTGCATCTAATTAATTATACTTGCCCAAATGAGCAAAGATGGGTCGTTCGAATTTTATTCTACGTGCCAATCTATGCATTTGAGTCATGGCTAAGCTTGCTTTTCCTAAAACATGAAGATTACTATGTATATTTCGATTCTGTACGAGATTGTTATGAAGGTTAGTTTTGGTGTGAAAACGTATACAGTACCTGTTTTATTTATTGGGGTGTATTTCATACAAGTTTGACCGGCATTATTTTGTAAGATAATTATAGGAAGGTGTGTTTGGTTTGTGGTAACATATTATTTGCCTACAGTGATCTCATCTGAATAAGAAGCCTCTTTGATGCTGCATTTAAACTTTGAATATGTGGTATCAGACATGCAATATGGATTGCTTCAATTAGTATGAACATGTGAGCAAATGTTTTTATTATGTGAAATACAGTATTCTCAAGTGATTATCTCTCATTCTATATCCTCTCCACCTTTCACCCTTTGTTAAGATATTTTTAAGCAATCGATTAAAACGACCCACTTCGAAGAGATGAAATCCCTGAAAATAACTTAACACATGTAAAAATCAGTAACTAGTTATCTATTTTTAAAATTCACTTCTTATTCAGTCATAAAACACATGAAAATATATAAGTCTGAAGTTAGTTAACATCATGGACTAACTTCGGCTAGATATACTTGGATGAGAAATAAAAGTTATATTTCAAGATGATCGTATCGTTAGCAGTTTCATAAGTACCTTTGTGGATCAACACTCATTAGCTGTTCCTTCAACGTGCGATGTACATAGTAGTAAGGTTTATTCTACATCCATAATTCATCCTATGTTGTCAAGTATTTTGATGTAATTTTTGTGCTAAACTTTTCTCTAAAAATATAGTATATTCTCAAATTGATTGTATTATGTTTTGTAATTTAATATGAAATGGTTTGGATTATCCTATTGTTAGTATTTTGACTGAAACTTGGCCAATCTTGCTTGCTACATGCCATCTATTCTATATTAACTTGTGTCATAATGGATATATCGAGGCAATTCGTATGGGATACCAACTGAAACGGATCATATTTCAGTCAAAATATCAACAAGTGAAGGATATAAACGATTTCAAATTGAATTAAAAAACTCATTCCCTTTACACAAGTGAGTGACTCCTGGACTCAGTATTTAAGTGGACAACACGATGGTGTTTGAAGCAAATGATACTGGGTTTGAGTCCCGGAGTGAACATCAACTCTGGAACGCAGGTATATTCAGCTGACGAGTCCCGAATAGCATGAAACGCGCGTTTCGGACTCCACTGATAACTACATGCTATGTAATCTCTATTAATCGTATTTTTCTATAACATAAACTGACTTTCATAAATAATGTTAGGGTAGCTCATTTAACAAGTACCTGCCTATTTCCTCAACTTGTAGGGATTCTCTATTAATGTGGAGGATAGTTACACTACTCAGCTACCTAAATAGAAATAAGTGAAGTGAATTTCGAGCCTGCCACTCAGTGGTTGAAGTTCGAGTGGATAAATCACTTGGTCACCATCCCAGTTAATCGATTTTGGAGGCATATCTGGCTTATGGATCCAGATAATCCTAAATATTTCTGAGCAGAGTTGTTTGCCTTTTACTTACGAAACACCAAGTGCCCGAGTGTTATTTCATATCCATCATCTTACTGACGGAATTGCACTCCGTGCCCCTAAACGCCCTGATACGGCCGAGGGTGGGAAGAGTCAGGACTCCTTCTCGAAATGCTCTAGCATGAACCGTTGTTGCTACCTTGACGTGGTGGTCGTGCTTGCCTATCGTGATGAAGCAACCGAGTTATACTGGCTGGAACAACCGTTCCTCAAGGTCCTACCATGTCAGACAGGTCGGTTGAAGAGCGGTAAGACTAAAAGCAACAAACCTAAGGTCAGAAGGCGAAGTCGTACTGCTGACTGTACAGAGGTGTGACATCAGTAAGGTGTTTCCTTCAGACAACCAGCATGACAGCGATGCTGTCTTCCCACAAGGAGGGGTGGGGTCAGAAAAGGTCGACTCTAAGAATGCACACCTCGCCTCAGCCCACGGATATCCGTCTCCAGAGTTAAGGTCTCAACGATTACGGAGCTGATACAAAAATTACCCATAAAAAGGTCGTATGTGACCGACCTCAAGCAGTTGTCCCTTGAGCACTGCGGTCACGCTCTCAGGTCACTAAGACCACCTCTAATCCAATTTTCTTTTCAGGCACCTCCAGAAGAACCCTTCCATGGTGTGGGCAACCGGGAAGTGATAACCACCCTCATACCTCTAACAGCACTCAAGACCACTGTATTCATAATCAAACTCCCCCTTCAATTCCTATTATTCCTCCTACATCGACTTTCAACGCTAAACTTCCTCTTTCGGCTTCCCCCTCAAGTGTCACCATAGCCAACCACTCTAGCGCTAAAAACTGTCCCAGGTCTACTGAAACCCCGCTCCACACTACACATTGGAGCCTTCAACGTACGCACCCTATGTCAAATCGGTCAACAGGCTTCCTTGGCTAGAACCCTAGAATCTCGTACCATTGATGTATGCTGTCTCTGAAACACGCATACCGGATCCCAGTGTGGTCATTCACTTGACCTCACCTCGGCAAAACGGAGAGCCGACGAGATACACCCTCCGTGTATGTGGTGACCCGACGGCCAGCTCTCGTGGACTAGCAGGTGTGTGCATAGCGCTAAGCATGAGGGCGGAACAAGCACTGTCAGAGTTGATCCCCGTTAACAGTCGTTAATGTACTGTTCGGCTAAACGCCTCCGTAAGAACTCGGAAGGATAGGGACACACGTCGTTGCCCTTTTGTCGTTTCTGCCTACGCTCCCACCGACTGTAGCTCAGATGAAGTGAAAGATGAATTTTACAGAAAGCTATCTGAACTTCTTCAGAAATTTAAACGTCCAGACATACTATTCGTAGCAGGTGACTTTAGTGCCCAGATAGATAGTTTAAACCAAACAGAAAGGCATTGAGGTGGATATTTTAGCATTCCGGCACAGCGAACAGATAATGGTGACCGTCTGCTGCAACTGTGCTCAGACAATCGTTTATTTTTAGCAAACACAAATTTTAAGCATAAGGAGAGACATCGTCTAACATTGCGACCCCCTACACCAAACCAATGATGGACTCAAATGGACCATATTGCCATCAGTCATCGTTGGAGAGAGTCGGTAGAAGATTGTCGCTCATTCTGGAGAACTTGCTTGGACTCCGACCATGCCCTAATACGGGCACGCAACCAAAAGTAGGTTCCAGGAACAACTGAAGTTAAACTCAGGTAGTTCTGAAAACGAAGCTGACCCTGATGTTGCTTGGAAAGATAAACAAACAGCAGTGACATCTATCAGTTATTTAAACCACAGGGTTACAAAGAACCAGTGGATTTCTTCAAAGTCTATCACACTGATGGATTCTCGCAAACTCGTCCCATCAGGTTCCGGACATGATGAAGAGCGACAACAAATCAGATCTAGGTTAAGAAAAAGTCTAAGAAACGACCGTGAGCAGTGGTGGGCAATGAAAGCAAAAGAGATGGAAAAGGCGGCGACTATAGGGAACACAAGATAGCTGTACAGACTAATAAAAGAAACTGGAATTAATAAGTCAAGTGTAAGTGAGATTATATCGGTAAAAGACGATACTCTCATCTGCTCCCAGTCCAGACGTTTAGAACGATGGGTGGAACATTTCAGAGAACAGTTCAGCTGGCCTCCAGCTACTACAACTACCCTCCATTCCCAGACAGTGTGAATGGAACATTGAAGTAGGTCCCTCAACTCTTGCTGAAGTTCAAAATGCTATAGTTAATCTGAAGCGACGAAGGGCAGCTGGTCCAGATGGATTGGATCCAGAAGTCTTTAAGGATGGTGGTCCAATTTTAGCGATTAGGTTGACTAATATTTTAGCTAAGATCTGGGAGTTAGACGTTATCCCATCTAACTGGTCACAATCACTTATCGTCCCAATATATAAGAAAGGGTCAAAATCATCCTGTGACAACCACAGAGGGATTAGTTTAACAAATATAGTATCTAAAATACTAGCTTCGATAATTATCAGACGCCTAACTAAGACTCGTGAACTGCAAACACGAGAGAACCAAGCTAGCTCCAGACCTGGTCGTGGCTGCATCGACCACATATTCACCATTCGTCAGATTCTAGAACACAGGCATACTTGTCGACGTCCGACAATGGTGGTCTTTCTTGAATTAAAAGCAGAATTTGGCTCTGTAGACCGCGAGATGTTGTGGCAGTGTCTGTCATTGAAAGGCGTACCTCAGAAGTACATAAACCTTTTGAAGGCTCTTTACTCGAACACTAATAGTCGAGTGAGAGCTTATGGTGAACTGTCATCTACTTTTGCAACTTCAAGTGGTGTCCGTCAAGGCTGTCCTTTTTCTCTATTTTTGTTCAACTTCATCATAGATCTACTGATGGAAATAACTTTCTTGTCGACTGAGTTCTCGGGTATTGATCTCCATCCAGGAGGTCCACTAATCGACTTGGAATACGCAGATGACATAGTCCTGTTTGGTGAAGACGCTGACAAAATGCAGAGTCTTCTGGTAGCACTGAGCAACAATGCCAGAATGTTTGGAATGCGCTTCTCTCCCTCGAAATGCAAGTTGTTGCTTCAGGACTGGTCTGCGTCAACACCTGAACTAAGGATAGGGAGTGAAGTAGTCGAATGCGTTGACAACTTCACTTATCTTGGAAGTCTGATCAGCCCTAATGAGTTGGTGTTTGACGAAATCTCAGCACGGATTCGAAAAACTCGTTTAGCTTTTGTCAACTTACATCACCTATGGTGAAGGCGAGATATCCGTCTATGAACAAAAGGACGAGTATACTGCGCGGCAGTCCGTTCTGTTTTAATTTACGACAACGAAACATGGCCATTAAGAGTAGAAGACACTCGTAAGCTAATAGTATTTGACCACAGATGCCTTAGAAATATTGCTGGCGTCTGCTGGGATCACCGGGTAAGTAATAGTGAGGTTAGACGCAGGGTATCAGGGAATGATGGTAAATCAGTTGATGAGGTTGTGAATCTTCATCGACTGTGATGGTTGGCCCACATGTTACGTATGCCTGAACACCGATTACCACGACGTGCAATG